CACACACACACACACAAACAAACACAAATACACACATAAATACACACACACACACACACACACACACACACACACACGCACACACACACAACCACAAACTCACAGTCACATACATCTGTTGCAAGCTACTGTTACTGCAGCGGCTACTGCAACTACCACTTACTTCCACATTTTTCTCCTTGCAACGACCTTCACTATTGCAACTGGTCTAACTGCCCTAATTTTTCTTTGTTTATTTCCATCGTTGCAATTGCAATTTCATCAATAAGGAGTAATGTGTATCAACCTTGGTATTGGATATGTAGTAATATTTCTGTTTCTATGGGGGGGAGGGGGAGAGGGGAGGGATAATTTGTTGTTTACTGGCCTACCCCTCCTCCCTTTCTCCCCCTCTCCTTCCCCCTCCCTCTTCCTCACTCCCTTTCTCCCTCTACCCCTATCCTCCTTCACCCTCCTTCTCTCCCTCTCTTTCCCTCCCTCATCATTCCCTTCTCCCCCCCTCTCCCTTCTTCGCCTCCCCTCTCTCCCTCCTTCCCTCCTTCCCCCTCTCCCCTCTATCCCTCCCTCCCCCTCTCTCCTCTCTCCCTCCCTCCCCCTCTCCCTCTCTTTCCCTCCCTCATCATTCCCTCTTTCCCCCTCTCTCCCTCCCCCGACCCCAAAACCCCTCCCTCTCCCCTTCCCCCTCCCCCCCTCTACTCGCTCGTTGAACACAACCACGGGATCAGATTAACTCCCGAATCCCACGTCCTTCCTTAATCTCCTCCTAATCTCCCCACTCCCCCCCTCCCCTCTATCTAAAAAGTCTCCAAAAATCCTTCGCAAAGATTCTCGTAGATTCTCGTAGATTCTCGTGGATTCCCGTAGGAGGCGCTGACGGAGGGATATTGCGCTGAGTTGCTCATTCACGTCAGGTGTTCGAAGCAGGATTTTCGATACCGGTGGAGTGGTATTCATATTACTGAATGCGATGTGTGTATGTGATGTGTGTATCTATATCTATATATATATCTATCTATCTATCTATCTATCTATCTATCTATATATATATATATATATATATATATATATATATATATATATATATATATATATACATATATATATAAATATATGTATATATATATATATATATATATATATATATATATATATATATATATATATATATATGTATATGTACATGCATTCGTGTGTAGAGACGAACAAAAACGAGAATACATACATGCTTACAGTCACATCGGCGCACACACACGCACGCACACACACACACACACACACACACACACACACACACACACACACACACACACACACACACACACATACATACACACACACGCGCGCGCGCACATACACATTTACTGGATAAAAACAAAAACATAAAAGGTTTCTGACTTCTGAAAAATAAAATAATCTTTTTTTCTAAATTGGTGTTTTTTAGAGGGGGGTGATTAAGTTTAAGAGGGGGGAATGGGGGGGGGGAGAACCCAGAGGGGAAAAATAGGAATTTCCTTAACTGCATCTGGAATTCCCTTAATAAATGTCGCAATGTTTAAGAAATTTTACTCATACGTAATTCTTAGCCTAATATTTTTGTTTGTTTGTTTGTTTAGTTAATTCGAGAAGAAAGTTTTAAGCTTTTAGTAAAAGATGATGGAAGGCGGGGGGGGTGGGGGGGGCGCTACAAGGACCAATTACTTAAAAGGGAGCATTGTGATAAAAAAAGAAAAAAATAAACATAATAAATGAAATACACAGGTGAATAACGATTCCCCTAAAGGATAGAGGGATAGAGAGAGAGAGAGAGAGAGAGAGAGAGAGAGAGAGAGAGAGAGAGAGAGAGAGAGAGAAGAAAAAACTAAGAGCAGAGAGAGAGAGAGAGAGAGAGAGAGAGAGAGAGAGAGAGAGAGAGAGAGAGAAAGGGAGGTAGAGAAAAAGAGAGAGAGAAGTAAGAAAAATAACAACTGATAAATAAGTGAGTAAGGGGACAAAAGAAAGACATTTAAAGAAAAATGTCTAAAAATAAAAACAAACAAATAAATAAATAAATACAAAAGAAAGATAGAGATAAAAAAAACTTAACAGTCGCGTGGGTGCAGTCTCCTGACACCTTATCTCCGGAGCAGTAGTAAAAAGCCGCTAATTTGGCAAGCGCTATCCAAGTTGATCGCCAGGTTATGTCGACATTGCAACCTATTAAAAATCTCATTTCCCGTCCCCCTCCCTCAACCCTCCCCCTCCCCCTCCCCCTCCCTCCTTCACCCTTCTTCTCCCTCAAACCTCCCCCTCCCCCTCCCTCCTTCACGCCTCCCCTCCCTCAACCCTCCCCCTTCCCCTCCCTCCTTCACGCCTCCCCTCCCTCAACCCTCCCCCTCCCCCTCCCTCCTTCACGCCTCCCCTCCCTCAACCCTCCCCCTTCCCCTCCCTCCTTCACGCCTCCCCTCCCTCAACCCTCCCCCTCCCCCTCCCTCCTTCACGCCTCCCCTCCCTCAACCCTCCCCCTCCCCCTCCCTCCTTCACGCCTCCCCTCCCTCAACCCTCCCCCTCCCCCTCACTCCTTCACCTTTCTTCTCCCTCAACCCTCCCCCTCCCCCTCCCTCCTTCACGCCTCCCCTCCCTCAACCCTCCCCCTCCCCCTCACTCCTTCACCTTTCTTCTCCCTCAACCCTCCCCCTCCCCCTCCCTCCTTCACGCCTCCCCTCCCTCAACCCTCCCCCTCCCCCTCACTCCTTCACCTTTCTTCTCCCTCAACCCTCCCCCTCCCCCTCCCTCCTTCACGCCTCCCCTCCCTCAACCCTCCCCCTCCCCCTCACTCCTTCACCTTTCTTCTCCCTCAACCCTCCCCCTCCCCCTCCCTCCTTCACGCCTCCCCTCCCTCAACCCTCCCCCTCCCCCTCACTCCTTCACCTTTCTTCTCCCTCAACCCTCCCCCTCCCCCTCCCTCCTTCACGCCTCCCCTCCCTCAACCCTCCCCCTCCCCCTCACTCCTTCACCTTTCTTCTCCCTCAACCCTCCCCCTCCCCCTCCCTCCTTCACGCCTCCCCTCCCTCAACCCTCCCCCTCCCCCTCACTCCTTCACCTTTCTTCTCCCTCAACCCTCCCCCTCCCCCTCCCTCCTTCACGCCTCCCCTCCCTCAACCCTCCCCCTCCCCCTCACTCCTTCACCTTTCTTCTCCCTCAACCCTCCCCCTCCCCCTCACTCCTTCACCTTTCTTCTCCCTCAACCCTCCCCCTCCCCATCCCTCCTTCACCCTTCAGCTTCCTCTTCCCCCATCTCCCTCTTTTCCTTCTCCCCCCACTTCACTCCCTCTCCTTCTTCCCCCATTCCCCTCCCTCTCTTTCTCCCTCATTCCCCTCCCTCTCCTTCACCCCCCCTCCCCTTCCCTCTCCCCCCCTCCCTCTCCTCCCCCTTCCCCTCCCTCCCTCCCCATTCCCCTCTCTCTCCTTCCCCTTCCCCCTCCCCCTCCCCCTTCCCCTATATAGGTGTAGAGGGCGGGGGGGGGTTAGGGGGAAGAGAGGGGGGTTGTAAATCATCCTGCACCCCCTCCCCCCCTACTTCCCCGGGTCCTCGTTCCTGCTAAACACATTTTTTTTTTAGTCATTTGCAATCTTTGATTAGGAGATAGACTCGTAAGGAAGCGTTTATGGACACACGCACACGCACATTCACGTACATACGCACATACGTACACAAAAAAATCACATACTCACACGCACACAAAAAACAACACACGCACACATGTATACACACTCGCATACACACACACACACACATATGCACGTACATACGCACACAGGTACCCAGAAAAATCACAAGCACACACGCACATTCACGTACATACGCACACACGTACACACAAAAAAAATCACACACATACACAAAAAACAACACACACACACACACAAACACATATAAATATACATGCATATTAACAGAAACTAAAACTGATTCTGAAATACCTCTTTCAGTATAGTAACCGCCCCAAACACACCTTCATGCAAACATTCAATATTGCAATCGGGAAATAATAACTACTCAACACAATCTCAGAATAGAACGTGCAATGTTTTCGTAATCATATTCTGTTATACTGAGAATCTTTTCATTTTTTTATCAACTCATTTTTCTATCTATCTATCTATCTATCTATCTATCCATCTATCTGTATATTTATCTGTCTGTCTATCCATCTATCTGTATATGTATGTATGTATGTATGTATGTATGCATACATGTATGTATCTTGCTGCATATTTATCTATTATGCAGCATATTTATCTATCTATCTATCTATCTATCCATCTACCTACCTATCTATCCATCTATCTATCTATTCATTTAAATATCCATTGATTTATCCATATATTTATTTAATCATTTTCAAAAAATACATACACATACAAAGATAAATACAAACCAAAGTATACATATACGATATATACTTTCATATTATATAATGAAACGTCTTTTATCATCCAAACAACGACATTATTAAAAACAACCAAACAAATACTGGTAATAGGCACTAATCACTAACTAACTAATCACACATTAGTATAAATCTAATCTAAATCAATCTATAAAATATGAAAACAACAACAACAACAACAAAAAACAATAACAACAGCTTCGAAAACTAACGAGAACCTAACAAAAAAAAAGATGAAAAAAATAAATAAATAAAAATAAAAACACAGCTCCCGACCTCCTTCATCGAGGCGGTGTAACGAGTCAGCATTGAGTCAGTATCGAGTCAGCGCTGAGTTAGTATTGAGTCAAACGATGAGTCAGCACTGGGTCGAGCGGAAGTCAGCATTGAGTCAAAGATGAGTCAGCACTGAATCACCATTGTAACAGCATTTCATCAACATTCATCCAGCACCGACTCAACACCGAGTCAGCGATGAGTCAGCACTCGATCAGCATTGACTCAAGCGAGAGTCAGCACCAAATCAGCATTCACCCAGCACCGACTCATCACTAACTCATCAATGACTCATCACCGACTCAGCACCGACTCCGCCAACACAGCGCAGGAACAGAGAGACAAAGAGGCAACTACCTGGCGATTGGGCGTCGCGGGGCGCCCCTGGCAAGCCCCCGGGCCGCTGACGGTGCCTGGGGGGGAGGGGGGCGCCTCCTGGGCCGGGGCAGGGGCAGGGGCGGGGGCGGGGGGGGCCTCCTCCGTGTTACGTACCTGAAGGGAATAAAGAAAGGCGTAAGTGAGGCTGCTGTTGTTATTATTAGTATTACTATAATTATCATCATCATCATCATTATTATCATCACCATCATCTTCATCATCATCATTATTATCATCATCATCATTATTATCATCATCATCATCATCACCATCATTATTATTATCATCATCTTCATCATCATCATTATCATTATCATCATCATTATTATCATGATCACCATTATTATTTGTGTTATCACTGAGTGCACTTAACAATAATAATTTGGAATTGCATATCTTTGGCGGTTTCATTTGTTGTTGTTATATATAATTTACGCGTAAACACACACACACACAAACACACACACACACATACACACACACACACACACACACGCACACACACACACACACACTAAAAACAAAAAACAAAGAACCAAAAGAAAATAATTAAATTACAAGACAGATATCTTTTTTATCTAAATATGGAAATCACGAAAAAGAATTTAACAAAACTAAACTCAAAATACGCCTGTAGTTCCAAGTCCAAAAAGTAAAAAAAAAAAAAGCGCGGGAAAAGTGACCAGTGTTGCCATTCTAAACTTTTTGAGTTATGATCCAAGCTCGAAATTACTGAAAATTTACTCCATATTTAGCATTTCTTTAAAGTCCTTATGTAGCGGGGAAAATGAGGATTTTTTTTTCTAGGTCAAACCACTCTTAAAATCCAGTCTAGCAGTTTGGTGGAAATAAAAATGGCAACGCCGAACGTGACGCCAATCCATCATGGCGAACATAGCGAAACCCGCCCACGTGCCTTACACCGGCAGGGCCTAAACCATGTAGATAGTGATGATAATGGTCCGAGGTGCGTTTCATTACTATGATAGGCATCACCTTAGGCAAATAAGTTAATGAACTGCGTTGTAGAGGGGAGGTTTATTAGCTAAACCGTGGGCCACCTGCGGATCACGGTCGCGGTGGTGTGAGCGAGCGTTTGAGTATGTATGTATGTGTGTGTGTGTGTGTGACCTCTGCTCGTCCTCCCTTTTCCCTTCTATTTTTCATTCTTTTTTAACTGTTTTGATTCTTTGTATTATTTTTTATTTTCGTTTTCTAATTGTTTTTATTTTTGTTTTCTAATTGTTTTTATTTTTATTGTTCGTCTGTCTGCCTCTCTCTCTCTCGAGAGAGAGGAGAGAGAGAAAGACAGAAAAGTGAAAATGAGATTGTCCTCCGACTGTCTTCCGAGAGAGAGAGAGAGAGAGAGAGAGAGAGAGAGAGAGAGAGAGCAAAAAAAAAAAAAAAAAAAAAAAAAAAAACGCTAATGGACTCGGCAATTAAACAATGACCTAAGACGGAGCGCGGGGTCAAAGGTCAACCAAAAAGATGAAAAATGAAGAGTAAAATTTTCTGTTGTCGGGGAAAATTTAGCAGAGAAAGAATGAGATGAAATATATTTACACATTTCTTGAGATCATCGTTGTAATTAAGGTTAGCTTAATGAATAAATAACAGATTTAATTAATTGAATTCCCGAACATTGCTGGAAATTGGTATCATTCAATAATAAAACGAAAAAATAAAGATGATGACATAAATAACGTAAAAAAAAGTTTACATATATATTTTTTCCTTATTTAATTAAATGCATTAGTGATTTTTGTTGCAAAAGATTTTTAAAAATAAGCTGAAAAGCAAAGACGATTACATACATAACGAAAAAAAAAAGTTTACACACATATATATCTCGCTTTTTCTTTTTTCTTTCTTACTTTCTTTTTCCCTTTTCTTTCTTTCTTTTATTTTTTTTTCTCTATTCTTTCTTTCTATTAGTAACTCCCCCCCCCCCCAATACCCACATCGACGCCGCCAAGGTTAGGAATCTCCGCCATAAGTGGAATAGGATCGGAAACCGTTAATATAACCGTGATAACAAGTTTGGAATGAAATCGGAAACTATGAAATGGTCTTGGTATAAATGGAATAGGATCGGAAACTGTAAGATGCCTTGATAACACTTACCAATAAAAAACTATGGAAAAAATTTAATAAGAAATAGATAAATAAGATCGGAAACTGTTAAATGCCTTGATAACACCAATAAAAAAAAATATGGAAAAAAATATAAAAAAATAAATAAATAGGATCGGAAACTGTTAAATGCCCTGATAACACCAATAAAAAAACTATGGAAAAATATATAAAAAATAGATAAACAAGATCGGAAACTGTTAAAGGCCCTGATAACACCAATAAAAAAAAACTATGGAAAAAAATATAAAAAATAGATAAACAAGATCGGAAACTGTTAAAGGCCTTGATAACAGTGGCCAATAATAAAAAAACTATGGAAAAAAAATAAAAAATAGATAAATAAGATCGGAAACTGTTAAATGCCTTGATAACACTTACCAATAAAAAAAACTATGGAAAAAAATATAAAAAATTGATAAATAAAATCAATTAAAAAATAGATAAATAACACCAATAAAAAACTATGGAAAAAAATAAGAAATAGATAAACAAGATCGGAAACTGTTAAAGGCCTTGATAACAATGGCCAATAAAGGTTTAAAACTATGAAAACAAAGACAGAGGCATAAGATCGGAAACTGTTAAAAGCCTTGATAACACTTACCAATAAAAAAAAACTATGGAAAAATATATAAAAAAATAGTTAAATAAGATCGGAAATTGTTAAAGGCTTTGATAACAATGGCCAATAAAGGTTTAAAACTGTGAAAAAAAAATCAAAAGTAGTTTTAAGATCGGATACTGTTAAAAAATACAAATCATAACAATAATAAATAAATCCCATAAACAACACCACAGAAATAGTGATAAAAAACACGTAAATTCCAGAGACCTAAAAAAAGGAAACTAAAAAAGAGAAAATAAGAAAATAAAAGAAAACTGAAACACCACATAATTGATAAAAAACACACACGTAAATCCCAAAGACCTAAAAATATAATAATAAAAAAATAACAATAATAATAATGAATAAATAAATAAATAATAATAATTATTATAAATAAATAAATAAATAATAATAATTATTATAAATAAATTAAAAAATAATAATTATTATAAATAGATAAATAATAATAATAATAATAATAATAATAATAATAATAATAACAATAATAAATGATAATAAATAAATAAATAATAATTATAGTGATAATAAATAAATTACTAAATAAATAATAATAATGATAATAACTAACTAACTAAATAATAATAAAAAACAAATAAAAAAAACAAACCCCTTTGACTCGATACTAACGCCATCTGGTCAAACGCGTCTATAAAAATTTTAATCTAACTGTCACCACTTTCGCGTCGTGGGTTTTAATAAACAGATGCCTCATGAATTATCTTCGTTTTTTTGTTTTTCTTCTTCTTTATTTTCTTTCTTTTTTTTTAGAGGGGGGAGGGGGATGGCGAAAGGGTAATATCCTGGTTCTAGAGGAGGAGAGAGATAGAGGAGGATAAGGAAGAAGAGGAGGAGGGAGATTGATGAAGATGAGGAGAGAGATAAAGGAAGATAAGGAAGATGAGGAGAGAGATAAAGGAAGATAAGGAAGATAAGGAGAGAGATAGAGGAAGATAAGAAAAGAAGAGGAGGAGGGAGATTGATGAAGATGAGGAGAGAGATAGACGAAGATAAGGATGATGAGGAGAGAGATAGAGGAGGATAAGGAAGAAGAGGAGGAGGGAGACTGATGAAGATGAGAAGGGAGATAAAGGAAGATAAGGAAGAAAAGATAGAGGGAGATAGAAGATAATAAGGAAGAAGAGGAGGAGGGAGACTGATGAAAAGGAGGAGAGAGATAGAGGAAGATTAGGAAGAAGAGGAAGAGGGAGATAGAAGATAATAAGGAAGAAGAGGAGGATTGAGACTGATGAAGATGAGGAGAGAGATAGAGGAAGATAAGGAAGAAGAAGAAGAGGGAGATAGAAGAGAATAAGGAAACGGGGGAGTGTAAGGAAGAGGAGAAAGTGGATGAAGAAAGAGGAGAATAAGGAAGAGTATGGATAAAAGGAAAAGGAGGAGGAGCAAGAATAAAAGGAAGAGAGGGAAATGGTGGAGGAAAAAGAGCGTTATTCATCTATTTATTTCATTTTTTGGTCTGACGAAAGAGGAGGAAGAAGAAGAGAAAAAAGAGGAGGAGGAGGAGGAGGAAGAGGAGAGCAAGAAGAAGATGAAGGAAAAATAAGGAAGATAAAAGAAGTCAACGAAGAAACGAAAAAATGAAGAAGGAACACAAGAAAAATTAAAGACGAGAAAAAAGTAAAACTGTTAAAAAACAATAACAATATTAACAAGAACAGAAGCGAAAAAAGAGTAAAGAAGAAAAAAAAGACGAAGAGAGAGAGAGAGAGAGAGAGAGAGAGAGAGAGAGAGAGAGAGAGAGAGAAAGAGAAAAAGAGAAAAAGAGAAAAAGAGAGAAAGAAAGAAAGACGGATAGAAAGAAAGACAGAAAGAGAGAAAGAGAAATAGAGAGAGACAAAAAAAAAAAAAATCCCCCCCCCCCTTATTACTTCATTCCTCCTCTCGTATGGCTTGTGTTAATCCAAGCTTTATCCATATCTTATCTCACACCTTATAAACCAAAGCTAATATTACTTAACTGAAGCAACCATCTAAATCCTTATATTTATTTATTTTTTTTTATTTACGTGATATTTTCTTTCTTTCTTTTTCTTTCTCTTTTTTCTCTCTGTTCTTTTTGTTGATTTTTTTTTCTATATAGTCAGTATATCATATAATGTGAAAGATTTTATTTTGGGGAGTAAATATTATTTTGAATATATTTCCATTGAAGTTAATGGTAGTATAACGGGGGGGGGGGTAGAAGTAGGAAAATAATAGTAATTGTAATGATAATAGTAGTGTAGTTATAGCAGTAGTGATGTAATAGTAGTAGTAGTAGTAGTAGTAGTAGTAGTAGTAGTAGTAGTAGTAGTAGTAGTAGTGGTAGTGGTGGTGGTGGTGGTAGTAGTAG